GCAACACTTGATGTAACGCATATGGATTGAGGAGGAGGTGCTTCCTGAGCTGAAGGATACCCTTGTGTTACCACTGTACAAGGGCAAAAGGAGCAAGCAATGTTGCACGAATTATCGTCGCATCAAGTTGTTGAGTTGTGTGGGCAAGGTGATTGCCGGAATCCTGCTCAACCGCCTCGTCAGTCAGGTTTTGGAACCGAACATGGTGCAAGAGCAGTGTGGATTCCGTTAGGGTTGCAACACTGTAGATATGGTGTTTGCGGCTCGTCAGTTGCATTAGAAGTGCAGAGAACAACATCAACCCTTTACTCGCTTTTTGTTGATTTCACCAAGCGTTTGATATGGTGAAGTGCTAGGCATTGTGGCTGGTGTTGGGTAAGTTTGGATCCATGCATAATTTTGTAAGTTTACTTGAATGTCTGCACAGCGGCATGCGAGCGAGGGTGCAGCTGAGTGGAGAGACCTCGGATGATTTTGCAGTTGTCTCTGGTGTGAAGCAAGGCTGTGTGTTAGCTCCTGCCCTGTTTAATATATATCTTCATGCAATGTTGTCTTGTGCTTTTGATGTCACTCGTGCTTACGGTGTTCATGTGGAGCACCGTATTGATGGTGGGTTGCTAAACATCCGTCGTTTCGGTGCGAGAACTCTAGTCTGTGAGACAACTATCCGTATGCTGCTGTTTGCTGACGACTGTGCGTTGTTTTCACACAGCGTGGATGAGTTGCAGCACATGACTAGTGCTCTCGCCTCGACAGCGGCAAAATTCGCGCCTACCATCAACACAAGCTAAACCGTCTGTCTCTTACTGCCTTCACCGGAGGTGCAATCTTCAATATTGTCGCGAATCAGCATTGGATCTGAAGTATTGGAAACCCCCTGCCGCTTCTGCTACCTTGGGAGTGTGATGTCGATTGATCTGCAGCTACACATTGAGCTGCGTATTCGAGTGTCGAGGGCAGAGGCGACATTCGTGCAGCTTGAGTACCGAGTGTGGGACAACCATCAGCTTACCATTGGCACTAAGCTGATGGTGTGCAAATTCATGGTGTTGTCCGTTCTTCTGTACGGCAGTAAAACGGACGATATACCGGCGGGATGTGCGATATCTCGAGCGATTCCATCAGCAGTGGTTGCGACGAATTTTGCGCAACGGTTGAGGCGACACAGGTGCTGACACGGAAGTGATGTGACAAAGTGGGATGTATGCAGTGAACTGCATACTTTTACTGAGACACCTGAGGTGGCTCGGTCATGTGAGCCGTATGGATTCGACGCGGATACTGAAACAACTATTATATGGCCAGCTGAGTACTGGAAAGCGGCACGTGGGAAAACCAAAGTTACGGTACCAGGACGTGATTAAAGTGAGCCTCTCACGTTCTAATCTTGATTGCAGATCATGGGAATCGAAGGCGGTTGAGCGGCGTGCATGGCGCGATCTGATCACGAAGGCAGTTGCCGCGGTGAAGGAGAAAGTCCTCATGCATGCAGAGAAGAAGCGGCAAGTGGGAAGCGGCAAGCACCGATGGGTGATACTCCATCGACATCAAGCGCATGGTACTGTAGCACATGCGGTCGCGACTGCCTGAGTCAGGCAGGCTTAGTGAGCCATGAGGGAGGCCACTTGGGACCACTACCGAAGCGCCGACGGGTCCTGCAGAGAACGTAGGCAGAACCAGCGCAGCGTTTGTAGGTACGCTGCATTCGATTTACTAACCGCGTGCTTGCATGTAAAGTCTCTTTATTTCAGGTGGTGGGTTTTCAGTTTTGTTCTAATGCCTTTCTTTCTCATATAAATGTCTAGTGAGCCATGAGCGAGGCCACTCGGGACCACTACAGAAGCGACGACGGGTCCTGCAGAGAACGTAGGCAGAACCAGCGCAGCGTTTGTAGGTACGCTGCATTCGATTTACTAACCGCGTGCTTGCACGCTAAGTCATTTTATTTCAGGTGGTGGGTTTTCAATTTTGTCCTAATGCTTTTCTTTCTCATATAAATGTCTACCTATATTCTCTTCCATAAACTTGCACACGTCGCATAATCCACTTGAAGTTAATTTCGACTACATTTTCGTGTTTGTGGCATTTCCGTAAAATATACTTTCCAACCTCGTTAATTTATCTCGGATTCGTTTGTAAACAACTTATTTCATATGCTCATTAATTTAATATTTTTGTCACCGTTTCCTTATGCATTACTCGATTTAGTTTCTTTGTTATCTTTCTCCCAATTGGTTGGCTGTTGCTTGATATCCTCGGTGTGACTGCGCTTGATGTGCATGTTGACAAGGTGCCTACCTGTCTGTTACCCACTACCTCGTCCATACTGGCTCTAGGAGACAGTTGGTCGTTGCTGGAGGGGACGGGGTGCACGGTCCTTGTGGCCGTGTTAAGATCAAAGAGTGGTTCCATGCACTGAGTGTGGAGCGGACTACAGTACAGCCACCGCCTTGTGTGCGCTTGACTCCCCAAATACAGCGTGTTTGTGTTTGCCAGTAAAGGAATGTGGGCCGGCTCCATTGATGAAACGTGCCTCCCATCCACATGCCTCCTTCGGGTTTACACCGTATATGGGGTGTGTGGTTGGAGTTGTGGGTGGTGCAGAGAAAGCCACCCATGGTCCCTCTGTAGGCGCAGGCGTCCTGTGGCTGGCCACAGTGATAATCAAAACCGAAACCGGATGCCGCCAAGCATGGACTGCGCTCTGACCCGACATCACAATAACGTGAGCGCAACACTCGTCTTCTTACCGGTGGCCTACTGACAGCGCGAGGAGTTGCATATCAATTATTTTTGGTGCATCAATCCTTGTGGATTTGTTGATGCTTTCCGATAACCCTCCGTATTTCAGCAATTCACGTTCTAGACGTCCTAGTTTTCGGATTTCTGAAACCCTATCTGCATCGTCTGTCATTCATGAACGAGTAACGTGCGACGCACACAAGTACGAAGTAGATGATACGCTATAAATATCACTCGGTTTTACGGGTGGCCGTATTACTTTACCTGCACATTTTTAAATCTGCATGTTATTGTTCCTGGATTGTTAATTTCTTTAATACCTTAATCCTGCCAATTACTTTAATACCCGTTTTGGATTCCTGTTAAAAAGCGTGAACCAATTGATTATTTTTGTGATCCTGTTGTACACATTGATCAGACCACATAGTTGGACTGAC